GCAGCAGGGGAATTTGGTGCAGAGGAGAAGTCTTTTACTTGCTATCTTGGTTCATAGTTTGTAAGGTGTTTTTACAGGATAAATTGAAGCCAAGGATCAGGGGCCCAGCACAAAGGAGTGACATCACAGGTAAACCATAAATTCATTGATAGCTACCATTCTGACTATTATAGGTTACTTTCAGATTGAAAGTAAATAGGGTAATATTTACAGGTTACAAACTAAAAGACACGTAGGAATTTTTTAAAATTCAAATTAAGAACTAAGTAAATAAAATAGAGATACTGAGCCAGACGATGTGTTGTAACTGCATGATGTGAAGGCTGGTTCGTAGTGACCACAGCTTACCAAGTAAAGTACTAAGTAAAGCTCAGCAGTACTAAGTACTGCTGAGCTTTTCCAGCAATTTTGTTTTTACAGCTTACTAAGTGTTGGTTGGTTAAAGAACTCCAGCTTAGAGTTGTTGAACTGGAGTTTGACCTTTCAACGCTACAACACATCAGGGTAGTGGGGAGCTACTTGCTGCTATGCTTCAGGAGGCAATTAAACCCCTTAAATTAACTGTGTCGAATTCGGTCAGTGGTGAGGGACAGGAGGATGTGACTATGAGTGAGGCAAGTAGAGGAATCCAGGAGGTAATGCTGAAGGAGCCTCTGTCCTTGTCTAACAGGTTCAAGATTCTTGCTCCCTATGTGGATGAGAGTAGGGGCTGTAGCGAGAATGAACAAATGAGACATTCATGAAGGGGGAGAAAATAGAAATGTAGTTGTAATCGGGCATAGTGTAGTCAATGAAATAGGCACTGTTCTCTGTGGCCAGGGTTGAGAGTCCCTGGTGCCCAGGCTCAGGATATCTCATCTAGGCTACAGAGGAAGTTAGATCAAGCTATCATGGTCCACGAAGGTGCCAACAACGTAGGTACCAACAACGTAGGTAGAGAGGAAAGAGATTCTGCTGCGGGAATATGAGCTGGTAGGGGCCAAATTAAAAAGCAGAACCAAAAAGGTATTAATTTCCAGATTACTACCTGAACCATAAGGTCCAGGGTCAACAAGATTAAAGAGGTAAAGGTGTGGCTCAAAGATTAGTGTGAGAAAATGATTTTGAATTCATGGGACATTAGCACCAGTACTGGGGAAGGATGGAGTTGTTCCAATGAGACAGGCTACACCTGAATCATGCATAATTCTCTGTGTTTGTGTGTGTGTTGGTGGACCAGGGTGAGAGGTTCAATATGCAGATGGTCTGGGAAAATCAGGTTGGTGACACATCCCAAGAAAAGGAATTTGTGGAATGTCTATGAGATTTTATTTGGAACATTTTGTGGTAGAGTTCACTAGGGAACGGGCAGTTCTGGATTTGGTAATGTATAATGAGACAGATTTGATTAGGGAGCTTAACGTGAACGTACTCAAAGGTGAAGGACAGTGACCATAATATGATAGAATTCACCCTGCAGTTTGAAAGGCCGAAGGCGTAATCAGATTTAATGGTATTATAATTGAGTAAAGGTAACTACAAAGACATGAGGGAGGAACTGGCCAGAGTTAATTGGAAGGAGAGGGAAGCAGGGAAGATGGCAGCAGCAATGGCAGAATTTCTGGGGTAGTTTGGCGGGAATCAAGGGAAGGTCATGCTTGTTAGAATTCTTTGAGGAGGTAATGAGCAAGTTAGACAAAAGAGAGCCAGTGGATGTGATCTATTTGGATTTTGAAAAGGCCTTTGACGAGGTGCCACATAGGAGGCTGCCAAATAGAGTAAGAGCCTGTGGTTTTAGGGGCAAGATACCGGCATGGATGGAGAATTGACTGACTGGCAGAAGGCAGAGAGTGGGGATAAAGAGGTCTTTTTCAGGATGGCAGCCTGTGACTAATGGAGAATGCTGGGGTGAACTTTGGGAGCACAACTATTCATTTTATACATTAACCATCTGGATGAAGGAACTGAGGGCATTGTTGCTAAGTTTGCAGATGAGACAAAGATAGATGGAGAGACAGGTAGTGCTGAGGAAGCTGAAAGGCTGAAGAGGGACTTGGACAGGCTAGGAGAATTGGCAAAGAAGTGGCAGATGGAATACAATGTGGAAAATTGTGAGGTTATGCACTTTGGTAGGAAGAATAAAGGTGTAGACGATGTTTTAAATGGGGAAAGGCTTCAGAAATCTAAAATTCAAAGGGACTTGGCAATCCTAATTCAGGATTCTCTTAAGGCTAACATGCAAGTTCAGTTGGCATTTAGGAAGGCAAATGCAATGTTAGCATCCATTTCAAGAGGGCTAGAATACAAGAGCAGAGATGTACTGCTGAGGCTGTATAAGTCTCTGGTCAGACGGCATTGGGAATATTGTGAGTAGTTTGAGCCCCGTATCGAAGGAAGGATGTGCTGGCACTGGAGAGGATGCAGAGGAGATTTACAAGAATAATCCTGGGGATGAAGGGCTTGCATATGAGGAATTGTCAAGGATTCTGGGTAGAGTTTAGAAGGACGAGGGAGATCTCATGGAAATTTACAGGATACTGAGAGGCCAGGATAGAGTTGACATGGACAAGATGGTTCCAGTAGTAGAAGAGACCAGGACCCAAATGCAGAGCCTCAGAGTGAAGGAGTAAATCTGAGATGAAGGGCAGTTAATTTGTGGAACTCAATGCTACAGAGGGCTGTGGAGGCCAAATCATTGAGTATATTTAAGACAGAGATAGATTGGTTCTTGATTGGTATGGGGTTCAAGGGGTACAGGAAGAAGACAGGGTAATGGGGTTGGGAAATATATCAGCCATGATCAAATGGCAGCCCTGACTCGATAAGCTGAATGGCCTAATTCTGTTCCTATATCTTATGGTCATAAGGAAAGGCAATATAGCTCCAAGTGAGGATGTTATGTGATTTTCAGGAAATCTTACAGGTGGTGGAGCTCCCATGCATTTGCTTCCCTTGTCCATCTAAACAGTAGAGATCAAGGATTTGAAAGACACTGTGAAAGGAACATTGCTGAAGTACTGCAGTGCACCTTGTAGGTAGCACAACATTGCTCTCACTATGTGTAGTGGTGAAGGATGTGAATGACTGATGTGGTGGAGGCAATCAAACAGACTGCTTGAATGAGAGTTATTGTCTTTGAGAATTGTTATTGAATCTACTTGTTTGGGAATGTAGAAAATCAGATCAGCCATGATCTCCTTAAATGGCACAGCAGGCTCAAAGGGCTGCCTGGCCTACTCCTGCTCCTTGTTTGTAAGTTCGTGCCTCCGACTACAAACCTCACAATTCAGGTGACCAGGACCAGTTTGGTTCAAGTTTAAGCAAACAGCTAGACAGGCATTAGATCAGAAACAAAAATTATCAGAGATTGGTTGTTATTCCAAACATTTACATTTATTATCAATCCCTAGATGCTTTTAAGAAGTTTATGAGGATATTTGTTCTTGAACCACTGCAAATGCTCGAGGTAAATGTTTTCCCACATTGCTGTTGGGTGAGGAGTTTTTGGATTTTGACCCAGAGATGTATGTTCAGCTCAGGATGACGCATGACTTGAAGGGAAGGATAGAGCTGATGGTACATGTATGCTCATGGAAGCCCTTGTCCTTCTAGATAGTGGAGGCTACAAGTTTGAGAGGTACTACATTGAAACAATTTACTGAAGTGCATCTTGTAGATAGTGACGAACTATTCTACCAATGTTGTCATGGGTAATTTCATCTGTGACAGTTAAATTAGTGAAATGAGGTTAAGTAAGTTATCCTCTTGTGTTGGTTCTCTCCCCATTTGCCACAAATTACCAGCTGGCATCTTCATCGCGATTCAAAGAGCTTCATCAGTGATAGAACAACCAAGGCTTTTAGTGAAGGAGATTGAAGAATCCAATCCAGAAAATGTCTCGTACCCATAATGTTTAACATAGAGGAGTACTGATTCTACTGGGGGACAATACGGGATAATCAGCAGGTTGTTTCCTTATCCTTGTTTGACTTGAACCATGATATCTGACTTACAATAAACTCTGTACCATGAGTGAATTTTTAATATGGAAACATGACTTGTGAATAAAATATGCATTGTTTACATATTTAACCTGCTCAATAGGAAACAAAGTGAATATCTGGGACCAATTAAGCTTGTTTCAGTAAACTGGACTAGAATCATAGAATAGACTCACAGAATCATAGAGACATACAGCACAGAAATAGACCCTTCGGCCCACCTTGTCCATGCTGACCAGGTTTCCTAAACTAAATTAGTCCCAATTGCCTGCTTTTGGCCCATATTCCTCTAAACTTTTACTATCCATGAGCCTGTCCAAATGTCTTTTAAATGTTGTAATTGTATCCACCTCTACCACTTCCTTTGACAGCTAGTTCCATATACATGCCACCACTATTATATTGATTATAACAGTAGTTTGTTTAGATTTCATGAAATGTTATGCAACAGTATGTATTTTATTTCTTTGTTCTTTCATGGGATGTGGGCATTGCTGGCAATGTCAGCACTGCCCTTTCCTAACTTCGCTTGAATTTATAGGGACAGACAATAATGACAGATTTTTTTACCTTTAAAAGGCCATTAGTGAATCAGATGAGTTTATACATAAATGAACAGTGGTTTCATGGCAGCCATTACTTCAGATTTATTCATTGATAATTTTATTAACTATTTAATTTATTAAATTAAATTTCTAATCAATTCACAGCTGCTGTGGTGGAATTTGAACCTATGGTCCCAGACCATTGACTTGTCTCTCTGGATTAGAAGTCCAGTGAGTTTACCATGATGCCACCATCTCTCCACATAAATGATGCACATATTTTGCCCCATTCTAATGTCTGGAAGTTTGTCTCTTTGTACTGCTGTCCCGAGTGCCCAATAGGTAAAGTCCGGAAGCTACCTCTGTGTTCACATCTGCTTTTTCAAAACCCTAAGAAGCAGCCAAACTGCAATGTGTTCATCTACTAGATCACTATTACCCATCACTATTAATCACGGGTTCTTTCCTGTCAAAGTATTACAGTTGTTCTGCATTGACCAACATCGCATCCAACCCACTGCACCATCCAAGTATGCTTCGAATAGGTGATGGCATTCTCCTCAAAATGTTACAGGCTCTTATGTCGTCCACTGTGGTAAAGGTGAGATCTCTGAGCAATTCATTATTCTTATGATTACTACATAATGAAATGGAATGACTGTAATTTATGTCAAACTAATGACAAATTGGGGCGGTTGAGGGGAGAGGGTAGGTGTTGGGAACGTAACATGTCCTAATTTCTGGCATTGGGTAAAATTCCATTAGTTTATAAATCCATGTAAACTGTTCGTTTGGGCTGTATTCACACAAAGGAATAGCTTCAGGTAAAATAATAAATCAAATGGCTAAGGTTTTTGTTTTTCACCCCATCTTTCCTAATTTACCCATTTCTTGTAACAAATGGGCTGGGTTTTCTGAGGCATGGCAATCTCATGCAGACTACCACTCCACCCCTTTTCTCCTCATGAAAGGAGAGAGCTCTGCATGTCTGAGAGGAAATTCCGATTCAGAAATGGGGAGGCATGCTTACATTCAGATTGTTCTGTCATTGCGCTAAACTGTTGGGTAGAGATCTTTTCTCAGCAGTCAGCTGACATTTAAAGAATTTACAGAATCACAGACAGACCCTTTAACAGCTGCTGTTAAACCATGTGTGACCATGTGTGAAGTTAGGCTGTCACATAAGTAGAGTGTCAAGTGGATAGGATGTCATGGATAGGGTGCTAGATGGATAGGATGCCAAGTTACTAGGAGGTAGATGAAATAACTCCACAGAGGCTAGTATCTCATCACCAAGTCATTCTTTATTTACACATGGAGAGTCCTTGACACTAATCCAGCTTCCTCAGAGCCAGCTCTCAGAGTGAACAGGATGTCTGACATTCCTATTTATATCTGTCAGCCAGGACTCCCTGATTGGACCAGATTAACATCCCTAATCAAGGAACTCATTTTCTATGATATCCACCTAGCTGACCTCATTACAATCCCTACAGTAGGGTACCAGTTGAAATAGGGTGCCATGTGGGTAGGCTGCCATGGATTATGTTGCCAGGAGAGTGGGGTGTCAAGTGGGTGGGGTAGGGGGGTGATATTGTGCCAGATGGATAGGGTGCCAAGTAATGATATACGGTCTAATGAACGGCAGGGGAAGGCAGGTATCTGGCCCTGGCTTGGGGGCAGGGGGTTTGAGTCCGGGAAGGGGGATAAGGGGCCTTTGGGTCCTGGCGGGCAATAGTGGCAGAGGCAGATGAAGTCTGCACCGTGACTGGAGGCAGCGGGTCCTGAGTGTGGGAAGAGGGGTGGACCACAGATCCAGAGCACAGGAAGAGAGGGTCTGCTAGGTCTGGAGTCGGGGTTACAGGGCAGACTCCTGAAGGAGGGATGGGGATTAGGTGTGGAATTGAAAGGTGGGTGTCCCCATGCACAAGTTCCAGCTCTGCTGGAATAATAATTGGTTGGTCATCAGCAAATACAGGACTATATTTCCACACATAAGGCACACTCAGATATGTTATTTCTTTTTAACCTTTGTCAGGCAGTGTTCCAGACTATTCAACGTTTTGGTATCACAATAGATCCCAATCATGTCCTCACCCAAAGCCAACGAGTCCTCCTCCCCATGTTGACCATGAAATACCAGCGCTGGCAGCTTGTCAATTGGAAGATGTCCATTCTGCTGCAGGCAGCAATCACCAGGGTAGAACAGGTCTCACATTTTCCCTCCAAATTGGGCCAAATAGATTTGTTATAAGGTGACTGCTCTTTCTGGTCACCACCAGACTGAGCTGTAAGAATGGAAGATTTTTATATTCCAAGATTATTTAGAACTGTCCTGACATAACAGAGGTGTTCATCTGAAATTTAAAATCAATTTTCTACCAGTGGCAAGCATTATGTAAATATGGCCCCATTCAGAACACCCTTCAAGATAGCAAGAACTGTAGATGCTGGAGTCAGAGATAACAGTGTGGAGGTGGAAGAACACAGCAGGCCAGGCAGTATTAGAGGAGCAGGAAAGTCAATATTTTGGGTCGACACCCTTCTTCAGAACTTCTTATCTTATATTATCTTCTACATGCATTTAAGACTTTTCAACAAATATAAAAATACACAAAAAAATTACAAAACTATTTTAATTGTTGTAAAGTTCATTAACTTCACTCTTCTTAATCAGATTCCTTGATTTTCATCAGGTCTGCTGTCAAGCATGCTACTGCCTCCGGAACTTATTCCTAAATGGTAAGAGGATAGCAACTTAATTTTGTAACTATGTTCAGGAGATATATGATTTTAGGATGCGTGATAACATTTTACACACTTTGGTGTATATAAATTTTGGTGTATGTACACTTTTGTTCTTCATTTCTACACAAAAGGTCTGATTGTAAGAAAGTTCTATCAAACTGTATATGAATGGTTCAATGTACAAGATTTGAATTTGACTCCTGGTTAGTTACTCTTTGAAGTTGAACAAATTGTTTTACTTCCTAGATTAGTTCCATGAATTTGGGCTATGGTTTTGAACATAGAGAACAAAATGTTCCAATTCCCAAATAATTTTATCGACCATGCTGTTACTGAGATAACATTTCTCAGGTAAAATTTTAATTTCTGCTCTCTCCCTGCTCCCCAGATACTTCTTTGTTCTTTAGCTTTGAGTTTTGCAACAGCTGTTGGAATTCCTTTCATAAGTGAAAACCTGTGAAAAAAGTTAGTTGAGACATTTAAGGAATTGAAAATTTGAGTGTCAATATTAGAAATCAAAATCACAAGTAACACAATGATTAAAAATGTCTACATGTCATGTTCTTTGACCATATCTGGAATTTACATTCTTTACAGATACTTAAAAGCTGTTTTTAATGTAAAAACGTAAAATTGCTTTTTACATTACAATGAGTGAGGGTCCAGGGCTGGCTGCTCCTGATACACTGTTCCAGAAACAATACATAAGAAATCTGACAATTACTGTGTTTGAGTTAAATTACTGAAAAAAAAACATTATTTTCACTCCATACAGCAACAAGTAAGGCTTACTACAACTGCAGATGGGGTAGCACTTGGGTCATTCAGCAGCAAAAGCTAATATTCACTAGTGTATGAAAGGCATCAGCAAGTTTATAAAACATAAAAATAAGGCAGCAACTCCATTTCCACTATGATATTATTGGTAAAATAAAATTACTGAATGTGCCAATATATCAGTTCATTACTTACCAGGCAGCCACTTAAGGGGTTCGTAAGGTTCCATTTTTTAATGGATAATTATTGAACCTTGTTCTCACTTACCACTGCACATGTCTCCACATTCAGAAGATTATCTTTGGCAATTTCCACCACCAAACACATCTTGCCCTCTCTACCTGTGCCTTTACAGAAGACTGCTCTGTGACACATTGGTCCTCCTCAAACACCCCAATATCTATTTCCCTTTCCATAGCACCTTCTCATGCAATCACAGGAACTGCATACCTACCCTTTCTCCCTCTTATCCTCTCTCTTCATTTTCTATGGCCCCAAGCAGTCCTTCTATGTGAGGCAGCAAGTTATTTCTACTTCTTTCTATTTACTGTACTATTTTTGCTGGTTCTGATGAGGTCTCCTCTTGCAGACTGGATGAACCGGTTTGTTGAACTTCCCTGCTCGCTCCTCAAGCATGACTCTGAGCTTGGAAGCACATAACCATAGAGAAAGAAGTCATTCAGCCCATTGTGTCTATATCAACCAAAAGGAATGGGAATTTAGCAGCCCATTCTAATTCCACCTTCTAGCACCTGGCATGTTACAGAACTTCTGATGCATTTCCAAGTACTTTATACATGGGTTGAAGGTTTCTGCTTCTACCTCAAACTGCATAGTGAACTCCAGGCACCCATCAAACTCTGGGTGAAAAGGTTCCTCCTCATTTCCCGTCTAATCTTTCTACCAATCACTTTGCATCTATGTCCCCAGTAATTGTGCTCTCCACTGGTGTAAGCTATCTAAGCCCCTCATAATTTTGTACACCTCAACTAAATCACCCCTTAGCATCTTCTTCAATGGAAACCAATGTTAGCCTATCCAGTCTTTCCAAATGACTGCAATTTATAAACCCTGGCAATGCTCTTGTAAATCTCCTTTGTATTCTTTCAGAACAATGATTCTAGCTGTGGCATCATCAACATGTTATACAGTTCCATTATTTCATCCCTGCTTTTGTATTTTATACCTCATCCAATAAAATAAAGCATTGTATATACTCTTTATCAACATATCTACCTGTCTTATCACGTTCAAGGACCTGTGGACATGCACTCCAAGGTCTCTTTCTTCCCCTGATTTTCTCAGTATATTCTCATTTATTGAGTATTCCCTAGCTTTCTTTGCCCTCCCCAAATAGATTACTCCATTATTCCCCAGCTGCTTGACATCTTAAGTCACCATTTTGCTTTGTTACTCACATTTCTGTCCTTGACCTACTGTAATATTTCAGTGAAGCTTAAGATAAGATTGAGGAACTATTTCTTCCATTAATTAGGCACTTTGCAGATTTCTGGGCTCAAGATTGAGTTCAACAATTTCAGACCATAAACTCTGTCCCTCATTTTGATTTTTTTGGTGCCACGAAGTGATTTGGAGGTTGATTTTCCTGTTTTTGCTTTCAGAGCATTCATTATTCTGGCATTTACACTCACCCGGGACCCAAGGGGTTATCTCTTTACTCCAATTGCCACTCCATTTGTCTTTGTTTCATGATCATAAGACCGCAAGGCACAGGAGCACAGGTGGGCCATTCAGCCTATCAAACCTGTTCTGCCATCCGATGAGATCTACTCGTAGACTGTCCCACAAGGGGAATCAACCTGTCTGCATCTACTGTGTCAAGTCCCCAAAGAATCTTGCCTTTGAGGTTGTACACATGCTCACCAAGCTGATGGGTTTGGTTGCAAATGTTTTGTCACCCTATGTTACTTAGCAGGGTGACGAAGCATTTGCAACCAAACCCATTAGCTCGGCGAGCATATCTACAACACCATCCACAACCCAAGCTACAAATCTTCTCGAAAACTTGAATCTTGCCTTTTTCAACAAAGTCTCCTCTCAGTTTTCTTAACACCATGAACATAGGCTCAACGTGCTCAATCTCTCCTCAAAATAAAATCCCTCCAAACCCTGGATCAACCTAGCAAATCTTCTCTGGACCATTTCTAAAACCAATATATTTTTCCTTATATAGGGACTAAAGCTGTTTACAGTATTGCAGCTGTGGTGTGACTAATACCTTGCATAGTTTTTGCAAGGCCTCCCTATTTTTATATTCCAATTCCATTGAAATAAAGGCGAATATTCCATTTTCTTTCCCTTTTACCTGCTGAAGTGAATGCTAGCTTTTTGTAATTCATGGTTCCCATGGTTTTAGGGAACAAGGAAATGGCAGAGGAGTTAAACAGATATTTTGTGTCAATCTTTGTGGTTGGAAAATGCTTTTAAAATTCCATTAATACTAAAGAATATAGGTGAGGAATTAAATATTATCACAATTGCTAAGGAAGTAGTATTAGATAAACTAATCCTAATGCTAAAAAACAGATAAGGCCCCTGGCCCTAATAGCTTGCATCCTAGGATCCTAAAAGAGGTAGCTACAGAAGAGGTCGATCCATTGGTTGTAATTTTTCAAGTGTTGGATTCTGGAGAAGTACCAGAAGATTGGAAAACATATTTTCCATCCCTATTCAAAAAGGGAAAGAGGCAGAAAGTAGACTGCCACAGGCCAATTACCCTGACATTTATAGTCGGAAAAGTCTTGGAATTAATTATTAAGGAAGTAATAATAGAACATTTAAAAAATCACAATCTAATCTCACAGAATCAGCATGGATTCATGAAAGGGATATCATGTTTGACTAATTTACTAGAGTTTATTTAAGGAAATCTCAACCGAGTAAATAAAGGGGAACCAGTAGTTGTATTGTATTTGGACTTCCATTAAGCATTCAACAAGATACCTCACAAAAGGTTAAGTCATAAGATAACAGACCACATTGTTGCAGGTAGTATGTTAGCATGGGTAGAGAATTAGCTCATTGGCAGGAAATAGCAGGTAGGGATAAAGGGTTCTTTTTCAAGTTGGCGACCCGTGCCCAGTGGGGTTCCATAGTGTTCAGTGGTGGGATTACAACTGTTTACAATATATATTAATGAAACATAAACAGAAATTGCTGGGAAAACTCAGCAGGTCTGGCAGCATCTGTGGAGAGAAAGCAGAGTTAATGTTTTGGGTCCAGTGACTCTTCTTCAGAACATTCTTTATTTGTTTTTGTTTAGTGTATAAATATTAATGGCTTGGAGGAAGGAAGCGAATATACTTTAACTAAATTTTTAGATGATACAAAAGTAGGTAGAAAGCCAGTTGAGAGCGGGATACAAACATTTACAGAAAGATATTGATAAGCTAAGTAGATAGGCAAAAGTTGGCAAATAGAGTAAAATGTGAAGTTGTTCATTTTGTAAGGGAGAACAAAAGAACAGAATATTATTTAACTGGAGAAAAATCACAGAAACCTGCAACAGAAAGGGACTTGGGAGTACCTGTGCACAAAACGCAGAAAGTTAGCACACACATGCAATAGGTAATTCGGAAGACTAATGGAATGTTGGCCGTTATGTCAAAGGGCCTGAGGTATAAGAGTATGGAAGTCTTGCTGCAACTGTACAAGGTGCCAGTGAAACCACAACTGGAAAACTGTGAATAGTTTTGATTCCCTTATTTAAGGAAAGCTATCATTTCATTGCAGACAGTTCACTAGTTGATCCCTGGTATGCAGGGATTGTTTACAAGCAAAAGGTAAACAGATTGGGACTCTATTTACAGGAGTGTAGAAGAATGCAAGGTAATCTCATTGAAATACATTGGATTCTTAAGGGGCTTGACAGGGTAAATGCAGAGAGGATGTTTCCCCCATGGGAGAGTCTTTGACCAGAGGGCATAGTCTCATAATAAAGGGGTACCAATTTAAGACTGATATAAGGAGGAATTTCTTCGCTCAGAGGGTTGTGAGTCTTTGAAACTGTTTGCCACTGAGAGCTATTGGTGTAGAGTCTTTATGTATACTTCAGGCTGAGATGGATAGATTCTTGATCAGTAAGGGAACCAAGGGTTACAGGGAAAGGGTAGGAAAGTAGACATGATGAATGTCAGATCAGCCATGAAGCTATTGAATGGCAGAGCAGGCTTGCAGAGCCGAACGGTCTACTCCTA